CTCCCTGACTGGCACAGCCTACTCCGCCAGGGCATGCCGATCTTTGAGTTAGACATGGATCAGATAGGTGCTGCTTTGCATGCTTTGTATGCTGACGCTTCTAGTGTTGCTGGATCTTACTACCCTGTGTACTCTAGTTTAGGTGTTTCACCCTTGTGTAGCTTAGCTTCCCCTGCTGCGACAGGCGTAGGACTGCCTAGGTTGCCTAGTCTAGTCGCTGCACCGGCTCCGTCCCCGGCCTCCGCCACTGCGTCGCTGTCCTTCACTCTCGACTCTGGTGCTTCTGCCTGCTTCTTCCGCGACCGTTCCACGCTCACGCCGCTTGCTGCACCTGCTGTTGTCCCTCTCGCTGACCCCTCTGCGGGTCCGGTCGTCGCGCGCAGTTCTACGTCCCTTCCCTGTCCGGCAGTTCCCTCGGGCTCCCTTACTGGCCTCCACGTTCCCTCGTTCTCCAGGAACCTGGTTGGTGTCGGCTGTCTCCAGGACCTCGGCGTCACCACCACGTTCCCCGGGCACGAGCGGTTCGCTGTCTGTTCTGAGGCTGTCTCAGGTTCCCCCCTTGCGACGTTCCCCGGGACCCGGTGTCCGGTCTGTTTACCCTACACACCGCTTCCCCCCCGGTTGGTGCGTCCTCCCAGGTCGCTGCAGCTTGCTCGTGTCGGTCCCTCACTCACCCCTCCCTTCTCTGGCACCACCGCTTAGGTCACCCTGCTCTCCCGCGTCTGCGTCACATGTCCCAGCACGGTCTTGTCTTAGGTCTCCCCGCGTCGCTCCCTGCCCTTCCTCCCTCGACTGCGCCACCGTGCACGCCTTGCGTCGAGGGTCGGCTCCGCCGTGCTCCTCACTCCTCCTCGCTGCGTCCTGCTACTGCCCCCCTTCAGACCCTGCACTTGGACGTTTGGGGCCCTGCCCCCGTCCCCGGACCGCGCGGTGAGCGCTACTTCCTTGTGCTCGTCGACGACTACACGCGCTACACCACGGTGTTTCCCCTGGAGCGGAAGGCCGACGTGCCCGACGTTCTTCTCCCGTGGGTTGTGGCTGCGCGTCTCCACCGCGGTCTCCCCGTGTTGTGTCTCCACTCCGACCGTGGCGGCGAGTTCGCCTCTGGTCGGCTTGGACAGTTCTGTCGTGCGGAGGGCATCACCCAGTCGTACACGTTGCCGGACTCGCCACAGCAGAATGGGGTTGCTGAGCGCCGCATCGGCTTGGTCATGGAGGTCGCCCGTACCTCCATGATCCATGCCGATGCCCCCCATTTTCTGTGGCCGTTCGCTGTTCGCTACGCGGCTCACCAGCTTAACCTGTGGCCACGCTCCCAGCGGCCGCAGGTTTCGCCGACCCTCCTTTGGACCGGGTCCCCCGGTGACGCGTCTGCGTTCCACGTCTGGGGCTGCCTTGCTCACGTTCGTGCCTCTGGCACGGACAAGCTCACTGCCCGCACTGTCCCCTGTGTCTTCCTCGGTTTCCCCCTGGACTCGTCTGACTGGCTTTTCTACCACCCGCCGTCTCACCGCTTCCTCCACTCTCGTGACGTCACCTTTGACGAGTCCGTCTCCTTCTACCGCCGCTTCCCTCACCGAGGTCTCCCAGTTGCCCCCCCCTTTTCCTTGCTCCCTCTCCCCCGGTAGCCCCTGCCCCTCTCCCGCCTCGTCCTGCCCCGTCTGGTGTCTCCCACGTCACTCCCCTCCCGTCGGTTGTCCCCGTTGAGGAGTCTGCTGACTCTGGTGGTACCCCCGGTCCGTCCTTGCAGCGTCCCCCTTCCCCGGTGCCTCCGCCCCCACTGTCGCAGTCGCCGACCCCGCTGCCGCCGCCGTCGCCGTCGCCGCCGCAGCCGTCGCCGCTGTCGTCGCCGCTGTCGCTGCCGCAGCCGTCGCCGCTGTCGCCGCCGCCGCAGCCGTTGCCGCCACTGCCGCCGCTGCTCTCGGCCCCTGGGGGTGCTGGTGTGGAGGAGGGTGTTCGTCCTGCGGCTTCTGGGGGTGCCGCTGGTGTTGGAGGGGGTTCTCGCTCTGGGGGTGTTGGTTCTGGGGGTGCTGCTGTTGAGTGTTCTGCCGACGGTCGTTCTGCCTCTGCTGGTCCGAGAGTTCCGGCCCAGCCGTCGTCGCCGCCGCAGCAGCCGTCGCCGCCGGTTTCCGCTCTCCGCCTGCTCGGCCTTCCCTCCCCGGACCGCGCGCCGGTGTCTCCCCCACCGCCTCCTGACCTTCCTGTCTACGGTCCTGTGTTCCCGCCGCCAGACTCGTCTCCGGCCCGTCTTCCTCCTCGTTCCCCTCCTGTGTCTCCTCCGCTGTCCCCTGACCCTACCCCTCCGTCTCACGTTTGGGCTCGCCGTCCCTCCCGTGCTCGTCCCGTCTCTCCTGTCCTGCCCACCCACCCTATGTTGCTCCGTTCCCACTCGTCTCGTCCTCCCCTCCTCCCGTCCCCTCCTCCCTCGTCCCTTGCTGTTGCACCTCCTCCGTTCTCTGACTACCTCCGTGCTGCTCGTCCCCTTGTCCCTCGGGTCCTTGCCTCTCTTGTTACCAACCCTGCTGTTCCTGTCTCGCGCCTTGACGCGCTTGTCGCTGCTGTCGCTGACTTCGCCTCTACCCGCCGCCTTGACTACGCTACCGCTCTGGTCTCTGACCCTGCCCGTCCTCTGTCCGTCGGGGGTGCTCCTGCCCTTGGCAGTGACGTCCTAGAGGACAGGCAGTACGAGCTGGCTTTCCTTTCCGAGGCTGCTCCCCATCTCTGCTCCATGCTGTTAGTCCCTGAGGGTGACCCAGACGCCTTCGACATCCCGACCCCTCGCACCTACGCTGAGGCCACCTCGGGACCTTGGGCCTCTCAGTGGATAGCTGCCATGGAGCAGGAGATGGCATCTTGGAGATCCACCGGCACTTACGTCGACGCAGTTCCCCCGCCTGGGGTGAACGTAGTCGATGGTCGGTGGCTCTTCAAGGTGAAGCGCCCCCCTGGAGAGCCGCCTGTCTTCAAGGCGCGCTACGTGGCCAGAGGTTTCAGTCAGCGCGAGGGGGTTGACTTCTTCCAGACCTTCGCCCCGACCCCGAAGATGACCACTCTTCGGGCGCTGCTACACGTAGCAGCACAGCGTGACTACGAGCTTCACTCCCTCGACTTCTCTACTGCCTTTCTTCAGGGCAGCCTACACGAGCAGGTCTACCTGCGCCGACCAAAGGGCTTCACTGGTACCTTCCCTCCTGGGACCCAGTGGCTTCTCAGGCGCCCGGTCTACGGCCTGCGTCAGGCTCCCCGCGAGTGGCACGACACGCTACGTGCCACGTTAGCAGACCTGCAGTTCTTTCCGTCCTCTGCTGACCCTTCACTGTTTGTGCGTTCCGGCCAGACTCCGTTCTACATCCTTGTCTACGTAGATGACCTGGTCTTCGCTACTCCTGACAGGGACGCACTGGCCTCTGTGAAGGCTGAGCTGCTGAAGAGACACCCCTGCACTGACCTTGGAGAGCTGCGTCGCTATCTTGGCCTGCAGATCTCTAGGGACAGAGCAGCACGCACCATCACTCTGACCCAGTCACACTTGGTGCGTCAGGTCCTTCAGAGGTTCGGTCTTCAGTTCTCCTCTGCACAGCCCACACCTCTACCCGTAGACCATGGGCTCTCTGCTCCCGTTCCTGAGGAGCCAGTAGAGCCCAGTGGCCCCTACGCAGAGCTGGTGGGTTGCCTCATGTACCTGATGACTTGCACTCGCCCAGATCTCGCATACCCTCTCAGCATCCTGGCTCGCTTTGTGGCTACAGGCAGACACCGACCTCAGCACTGGTCTGCCGCTAAGAGGGTTTTGCGTTATCTTGCTAGTACATCAGGCATGGGGTTAGTGCTAGGAGGACGCAGGCCAGTGGTCCTTACTGGGCACATAGACGCTTCTTGGGCAGACGACGCTGAGACGCTCAGGTCGTCGCAGGGCTACTGTTTCAGCCTTGGTTCGGGTGCTATCTCTTGGAGATCCACTCGCTCGTCGTCTGTGGCTCAGTCTAGCTGTGAGGCTGAGATCTACGCTGGTGCCATGGCGGCACAGGAGCTCCGCTGGCTGACCTTCTTGCTCACAGACTTAGGTGAGCGGCCTAGCTCTGCCCCGGTCCTGTACGCTGACAACAGGGCCATGATACTCCTGTGTCAGGAGCCTCGGCTTGAGGGCAGAGCGAAGCATATCCAGCTGCGGTACTTCCTCCTGCGCGAGCTACAGCAGCGCCGCCAGGCCCGCGTAGTTCACTTGGCCTCAGGTGCCAACACAGCTGATATCTTTACTAAGGCGCTTGCGCCTAAAGATCATCAGCGGCACTGTGTACAGCTTGGTCTTGTTCCTGTAGCTGCTCCCCTGTTAGGATCCTGATTGTGTACTCTCTATTATATATGCTTGTCAGACTGGCCTTGTGGCCTTACCTCCAGTGGCTGGACTAGTAGTGCCACCCTGGCTTGCTTCAGTTTTGGTTGTATTCTTGCTGACTGGTCTCCAGACCCCTGCCTCAGTGGTTGGACTAGTAGTGCCGCCCTGAGCTGTTTGCTTCTTGTTTAGTTTCACCCCTTGTCTAGCCTAGGGGGTGTGTCAACTTATACATATTATCTATGTAGAAGTTATAGGCTAGACTGAGGTATGCTTCTAGTGAGTACAACCAACTAGTATTTGTTCTAGGTTTCCACCTCTAGTAATCATTCGTTTCTACGTTATCAAAATTTGCGGGCTGACCCTCGATCCGAAGCAAAATCTTTCGCTTTCGGAAGGTGCTCTGATGTAATCTGCACTTTCCTTTTTTGCCTGCAGAACGCAGCCAGAAAATTCATTGCACTTTGTCTGGCATTTGTAACACATGTCCAGGAATTCGCGAGTCGCGACACGCCGTTTCGACAGAGTGATCACCACTGACCTCAGTCCCCCAACGGTTGGGTCAGCCTGATCCATCCAATCCATCCAACCAGCTCCCCTCCCTCTCCCCTAAACCTCCTCGCGCGCAGATCTATAAAAGTTATATTCCTTCACATTTTCCAGGTGCGTTTTCCTGTGGCCTCACCTCCTATTACACCCCGCTCCTTCCGCGCTCATCGTCACTCCCAAGGCCAAACCCGTCTTGAAACTACCACTTGCGGTAAACTCTCCCGTCATGCTTGCGTCGCCGTCGTCATCGCTGGCAACGCCTGTCGCAAATGCCGTCAACGCCAGGCTGCTCGCCGCGGTCGCCGGCGCTCCGGCGATGATGCAGCAAACCCACCTCTCCGCCCTGCGATGCCCGTTCGCCGGGTCGTGGTCTTCAAAACCCGCAAGCCCTCACAGCGGCGCCGCTCTCGCTGCTGGTCAAGCCGGTGTGCGAAAGCCGCGGCCTTGCGTGGTTCTGGCTGCCGCAGGCGACGGTGCGCGATCCGTCGGCGCGTCGGCTGCGGCGGCGAGCGCGGCGACGGCGACGGCGACGGCGACGGCGACGACGGCGAAGGACGAGGCGGAGGTGTCGCAGGCGATTCTGCGGGCGAACGAGGAGGTGGCGATGCTGAGCGAGGAGCTGGAAGGCATGTCGCCGCTCGCCATCATGGACCGGGTGAGTGTCGCCTCGTCGCAAGGACTGTCGCTCGTCGCAATGATTGTCGCTCGTCGCCAAGAGTGTTCGGCGATGGCAATGAGCAATGCGAGCGAGGAAAGGCTGTGAGGTTAGCAGAGGTGAGGGAAGATAACCGCGTCTCGCGCGCACACCCGCGCAACGGCTGGAGACAATGCACGTACCGACGTCGATCACGGTGACCTCACAGCTCACATCTAAATAGGCCAGCTGACTTATTTGCTCCTTTTGCGCCATACTAGGCAGACGGGTTCTGCCTCCACACCACATCTTTCCCTCGCATCTCGACCTTTCTTACACCTCCGCCCTGTGCGTCCACCTCGACCGTCGATCAGGTGTTGGAGCTGTACGGCGTGGATGCGGCGATTGCGTTCAGCGGCGCAGAGGACGTGCTGCTGGTGGAGCTCGCGGCCAGCACGGGCCGGCCCTTCCGCGTCTTCTGCCTCGACACCGGCCGCCTCAATCCCGAAACCTACCGATTCCTGCACCAGGTAGGAAACACACTAGGCCTAATGTGGGCCCTGCGTTTGCTCCCTTTATGTTTCCTCTTCTTTAGAAAAAGCAGGTTTCAGTTTTTCTGTTTTATGTTTTGCGTTTACCGAAAAAAGTAACTTGACTCGCGGTGTTTCAAACGGGGATGCGATGCGGTGGGCGGCAGGTGGAGCAGCACTACGGGTTGCGCATGGAGGTTCTGTTTCCGGATGCGGCGGCGGTGGAGCAGCTGGTGGGCGCCAAGGGGCTCTTCTCCTTCTACACGGACGGCCACTTCGAGTGCTGCTCCGTGCGCAAAGTGCAGCCGCTCAAGGTGCGCGTGGGAGGCATGGGTGTTGCTGGGGAAGGGGGGGAATGGGGGGAAGGGGGGTAAAGGGGGAGGAGGGGAGAGGATAACGGGAGGAGGATGAGGAGGGAGATGATTAGGGGCGGGGGGTGGTGGACGTGCTTGAATGGGAAGCGAGGGGGCGCATGTAGAGGGAGAGAGCGAGATAGAGCGAGGTAGATAGTCAGATGGATATGTAGTGAGAGAGCGGACCACTCGAGAGAACGGAGTCGCAGCCACGTGATGCCATCCTTTCGGCCGAAAGAGGCACTCGCTGCCTCTCATGCCGGCCTTACTCATGTCATAGTTACTCTGATGGCTGCCCTCTCACTCGTCACATGCTCACGCTCATGCCTAGGCGCTTGATGGTCTCGCACCAGGCTCTCGCACCGCCATCCTGGCTCCGTCCATTTGGAATTTCCTTCCTTATGCCTCTCTCCCTGCTCTCTTCTCCTCCCTCTCTTGTACTCCACGCTCCATCGCGTCCTTACATCTCCCCTCCCCCCCCTCCCTTTCCCCTCCCCTTCCTCCTCCCCCGTCCCCCCAGCGCAAGCTCCGCACGCTGCGCGCGTGGATCACGGGGCAGAGGCGGGACCAGTCCGTGGGCACGCGAGCCAACGTGCCGCTAGTCCAGGTCGACCCGGGCAACGAGGGCGCGGGCGGTGCAGTGGGCACACTCGTCAAGGTCAATCCTCTCGCCCTCGTGGCGGGCTCCGACGTGTGGCACATGCTGGAGGCCCTGGAGGTGCCCACGAACCCCCTCCACGCGCAGGGATTCACATCCATAGGCTGCGAGCCGTGCACGCGGCCCGTGCTGCCGCACCAGCACGAGCGCGAGGGGCGCTGGTGGTGGGAGGAGGCAGCCAGCAAGGAGTGCGGGCTCCACCAGCCGTCCTCAGGCGCTGCTGCTGCTGCTGCTGGTTCCAAGGCGGCTCCCGCCGGTGCGTCTGCCGCTGCTGCGCTGTCGGCGCTGGCGCTTGCGCCGTCGGTTGGGCCGGGGGCGCTGGCGACAAGGGGGCACACGGGCGTGGGAATCCGGGCGGCTGCTGAGGCGGAGTTGGCGGCTGCGGAGGTGGCGAGGCGCGAGGAGGAGGAGAGGGAGCGGCAGCGGCGGCGGGAAGAGGAGGCGGAGGATATCTATGTGGATGAGAGTGTGGTGGAGCTCACAGCCAGGGACGTCGAGCTGCTGGTCAGTGCCATCCCTGCCGCTGCATGCCGCTGCTTGCTTATCTGTTGCCCTTTCTCTCTCCCTGTGCCTTTGTCTGTGTCCCTGTCTCCTCTCTGTCATGGCTTGGTTGGTTTTGATCTGCAGAGCCCTCCTTGTTTGTTGCTGCTTACATCTCATGTCACCCCCGTGTGTCCTGGTGGAAATCCCTCTCGTTGGTTGGATCTCGCCTTGAAGCTCATCATGCCTCACTTTCTTCTCCCACTACCATTCCTCCCTCCCTCTCTCCCTCTCTCCCCCCATCTCCAGCTGACGCCCGCAGCAGCGGCCACGCCAGAGGAGCAGCAGCGGGTGGGGCATCTGTCGGCGTCGTCGTGGCTGCTGGTGGTGTACGCGCCCTGGTGCCCCTTCTGCCAGGCGCTCGAGCCCTCGCTGCTGCACACGGCAGGGGTGCTTGGGGGAGAGAAGGGGGTCAACACGCGCGTGGCGAAATTCAGGGTGGGTGCTGCGCTGATGATGATTATGAATGACGCATGGGAGGGAGAGATGCTGCAGTGTCGGCCATGGAATGGGAGGGATGGGTTGGGATGGGATGGTAAGGATGGGAAGATCGACAGGGGTGGGATGGGATAGATTGAAAGGGGTGGGATGGGATACATTGAAAGGGGTGGGTGGGATACATTGAAAGGGGTGGGATGGGATAGATTGAAAGGGGTGGGATGGGATAGATTGAAAGGGGTGGGATGGGATAGATTGAAAGGGGTGGGATGGGATAGATTGAAAGGGGTGGGATGGGATAGATTGAAAGGGGTGGGATGGGATAGATTGAAAGGGGTGGGATGGGATAGATTGAAAGGGGTGGGATGGGATAGATTGAAAGGGGTGGGATGGGATAGATTGAAAGGGGTGGGATGGATAGATTGAAAGGGGTGGGATGGGATAGATTGAAAGGGGTGGGATGGGATAGATTGAAAGGGGTGGGATGGGGTAGATTGAAAGGGGTGGGATGGGATAGATTGAAAGGGGTGGGATGGGATAGATTGAAAGGGGTGGGATGGAAATGGAATGGGGTGTGTGCCTAGGCCCCCCCACTTTTGCTTCCCCGCAGGGCGCTCACAGTCTCCTCCCCTCCCTCCCTCCCCCCCTCCCCACCACCAGGGCGACCGCGACATGCGTCAGTTCGCAAGAGACCGCCTCAACACCTCGTCCTTCCCCACCATTCTCTCCGTGCGGCCGCGCCACAGCGGGCAGCAGGGGCAGCAGCAGCAGGCGGCACTGGTGGTGAAGATGCGGGGCGAGAGGCGGGATTCTGACTCGCTGCTCAACTTTGTCAGGCAGCTCAGCTGAGCACACGCAGTGAAACACATGGGTTCTGACAATCGGTAGTACCTAGGGTACATTGCAGGTGTAGGTGGTGCCCTGGCATGGCATTGTGAGTGAGGAATGGGGTAAGTTAATACCCTAGAAAACTCAGGGAGCAGGGCCTCAGATTGATTTTGAGGTACCCTGATTGCTCAGGGTCCCCCCCTCATGTTTAGCCTGATTTTTCAGGGCTCCCAAAAAAAAACCGCTGAGTAATCAGGGTTACTTCAGAGTATCACGCTGATTTTACGACGTTGGGAGATGGGCGGAACGGAACTTGGGGAGGGTTGGAACGGGGCAGAGGGGGGGGGGGGAAGAAATTAGGTAGGGAGGATTCCCGCGGGAATCATGATGTTGCTGAGGCCGTCAATTTTTGCGGCGAATTTCTGCAGGAAGTCTCGGCCAATCAAATTTCGCCGATTGATTCCAAGGTTGCAACAAGATCTCAGGAGCGGGAGGAGGGAATCTCTATCAGAGTAAAAATATTTTCAACTAGAATGAGGCATACAGGTAGTTTTGATCAAATGTTGTACCCTCTAAAAGCATGCACCTATCTAGCCTATTATAATATATACAAATACATGTTTGATACATAGTACAACATTACTCACTGTTGCCTAGTGTAGGTGTGCCTAGCGTAGCCTCCCCTGCTGCGTCAGGCGTAGGATCCTCTGCTTTGTGTAGACTTGGTGCTTCCGCCGTCGTTCCGTCGCCAGCCGCCTCTGCTTCGCATTCCTTCACCTTGGACTCTGGCGCTTCTCGGTGTTTCTTCCGCGACTCCACCACCCTGACGCCGCTTCCTGTTCCTGCTGCCGTTTCTCTTGCTGACCCCTCCGGCGGTCCGGTAGTCGCCCGCAGTTCCACCACCCTTCCCTGTCCGGCGGTTCCTTCGGGCACTCTCACAGGTCTGCATATCCCCTCGTTCTCCAGGAACCTAGTTGGTGTCGGCTGCCTCCAGGACCTTGGCGTCACCACTACGTTCCCTGGTCACGAGCGGTATGCTGTCTGTACCGAGGCCGCCACTGGTGCCCCCCTGTCCACGTTCCCCCGGGACCCGGTGTCCGGCCTGTTCACTCTGGACATCGTGACCCCCCCGGCTGGAGCGCTCACCCAGGTTGCTGCCGCCTGCTCCTGTCGGTCCCTCACTCACCCGACTCTCCTTTGGCACCACCGCCTAGGTCACCCTGCGCTCCCGCGTCTGCGTCACATGTCCCAGCACGGTCTTGTCCTTGGTCTCCCCGGTTCTCTCCCCGCGTTTCCCTCCTCCCCAGCCCCACCTTGCACGCCTTGTGTCGAGGGTCGGCTTCGCCGTGCCCCTCACTCCTCCTCGTTTCCCCCTACCGCCGCGCCGCTGCAAACCCTGCACCTGGACGTCTGGGGCCCCGCCCCCGTCCCTGGGCCGCGTCGAGAGCGCTACTTCCTTGTGCTCATCGACGACTTCACTCGTTACACCACAGTCTTTCCCCTGGAGCGCAAGGCCGACGTGCCTGGCGCTCTCATCCCCTGGCTTGTCTCTGCGCGTGTCCACTGCGGTCTCCCTGTCTTGCGTTTTCACTCAGACCGTGGTGGCGAGTTTGCCTCCGGTGTCCTTGGTCGCTTTTGTCGTGCGGAGGGCATCACCTAGACGTTCACCATACCGGACTCCCCACAGCAGAATGGGGTCGCTGAGCGACGCATCGGTTTGGTCATGGAGGTGGCTCGCACCTCCATGATCCATGCCGGTGCACCCCCATTTCTGTGGCCGTTCGCAGTGCGCTACGCTTCTCACCAGCTTAACTTATGGCCGCACCCTCAGCAGCCGCAGGTTTCACCGACCCGTCTTTGGACTGGGTCTCCTGGTGACGCGTCTGCGTTCCACGTCTGGGGCTGCCTTGCTCACGTTCGTGCCTCTGGCACGGACAAGCTCACTGCCCGCACCCTTCCCTGCGTCTTCCTCGGTTTTCCTCTTGACGCGTCCGACTGGCACTTTTACCACCCGCCGTCTCACCGCTTCTTTCACTCTCGTGACGTCACCTTTGACGAGTCCGTCCCCTACTACCGTCGCTTCCCCCACCGTGGTCCCCCGGTTACCCCCCCCCTGTTCCTGGTCACTCCTTCCCCGGTAGTTCCTGCCCCTCCTCCTCCTCCTCCCCGTCCCGCCCCCTCTGGTGTGTCCCACGTCACCCCCCTTCCGTCGGAGGACCCGGTTGAGGAGTCTTCTGACTCTGGTGGCCCTCCTGTGCAGTCCTCGCCGGCCGCCCCTCCCCCGGCGTCCCCTCCCCAGTCCCCTCCTCCACCGCCTCTGCCGCCGCTGCAGCCGTCGTTGTCGCTGCCGCCGCAGCCGCCGCCGCAGCCGCCGCCGCCGACGCCGCCGTCGCAGCCCCCGTTCGCTGACTCTGGGGGTGCTGGTGTGGAGAGTGCCGGTGGTAGCCGCGGAGCAGCTTGCGGTCCAGGTGTCGCCGTTGTGCCGCCGCAGCAGCAGTTCCCGCCGGTGTCAGCCCTTCGCTTGCTCGGCCTTCCGTCCACCGACCCTGCGTCTGTTCCTCCCCGACCGTCTCCTCCTCTTCCTGTCTACGGCCCTGTTTTCCCTCCGCCGGACTCGTCCCCGGCCTGTCTCCCCCCTCGTTCCCCTCCTGTGTCCCCTCCCCTGTCCCCTGACCCGACTCCTCCGTTGCACGTCTGGTCTCACCGTCCCTCCCATGCCAGTCCTACCTCGCCTGTCTTGCGCTCCCACCCTTTGTTGCTTCGTTCCCACGCGTCTCGTCCTCCCCTTCTGCCGTCGCCTCCTCCGTCCTCCCTTGTTGTTGCACCCCCCCCGCTGTCTGACTACCTTCGTGCCGCTCGTCCCCTGGTTCCTCAGGTCCTTGCCTCTCTCGTTACCGACCCGTCTGTTCCGGTCTCGTGCCTTGACGCTCTTGTCGCTGCTGTCGCTGACTTCGCCTCTACCCGCCGCCTTGACTACGCCACAGCTCTGGTCTCTGACCCTGCCTGTCCTCCGTCTGTCGGGGGTGCTCTTGCCCTTGGCAGTGACGTCCTGGAGGACCGCCAGTTCGAGCTTGCTTTCCTCTCCGAGGCTGCTCCCCATCTCTGTTCCATGCTGCTAGTCCCTGAGGGTGACCCAGACGCTTTCGACATCCCGACCCCTCGCACTTACGCTGAGGCGACCTCGGGACCCTGGGCCTCTCAGTGGATAGCTGCCATGGAGCAGGAGATGGCATCTTGGAGATCCACCGGCACTTTCGTCGACGCAATTCCCCCGGCTGGGGTGAACGTAGTCGATGGCCGCTGGCTCTTCAAGGTGAAGCGCCCTCCTGGAGAGCCGCCTGTCTTCAAGGCGCGCTATGTGGCTAGAGGCTTCAGTTAGCGCGAGGGGGTGGACTTCTTCCAGACCTTCGCTCCGACCCCGAAGATGACTACTCTTCGGGTTCTGTTACACCTAGCTGCTCAGCGTGACTACGAGCTTCACTCCCTCGACTTCTCCACTGCCTTCCTTCAGGGCAGCCTACAGGAGCAGGTCTACTTGCGTCGCCCTCAGGGCTTTACTGGCACCTTCCCTCCTGGGACCCAGTGGCTCCTACAGCGCCCCGTCTACGGCCTGCGCCAGGCTCCTCGTGAGTGGCACGACACTCTCCGTGCTACGCTTGCTGACCTGCAGTTCTTTCCGTCTTCCGCAGACCCTTCACTCTTTGTTCGTGCTGGCCAGACTCCGTTCTACATCCTTGTTTACGTCGACGACCTGGTCTTTGCCACAGCAGACAGGGACGCACTGGCCTCCGTGAAGGCAGAGCTGCTGAAGAGACACACGTGCACTGACCTTGGAGAACTGCGCCGCTACCTTGGCTTGCAGATCTCCAGGGACAGAGCATCGCGCACCATCACCCTGACTCAGTCACACTTGGTGCGCCAGGTCCTTCAGAGGTTCAGCCTTCAGTTCTCCTCTGCACAGCCCACCCCTCTGCCTGTAGACCACAGACTCTCCGCTCCAATGTCTGAGGAGTTGGTAGAGCCCAGTGGCCCCTACGCAGAGCTGGTGGGTTGCCTCATGTACCTGATGACTTGCACTCGCCCAGATCTCGCATACCCTCTCAGCATCCTGGCACGTTTTGTGGCCACAGGCAGACACCGACCGCAGCACTGGTCTGCCGCTAAGAGGGTTCTGCGTTATCTTGCTAGTACATCGGGCATGGGGTTAGTGCTAGGAGGACGCAGGCCAGTGGTCCTCATTGGACACACTGACGCTTTGTGGGCAGACGACGCCGAGACACTCAGGTCTACCCAGGGCTACTGCTTCAGCCTTGGCTCAGCTGCCGTCTCGTGGAGAGCTACCCGCTCCTCGTCTGTTGCCCAGTCCAGCTGTGAGGCTGAGATCTACGCTGGTGCCATGGCGGCACAGGAGCTCCGCTGGCTGACCTTCTTGCTCACTGACTTAGGTGAGCGGCCTAGCTCTGCCCCGGTCCTGTTCGCTGACAAGAGGGCCATGATCCTCCTGTGTCAGGAGCCTCGACTCGAGGGCAGAGCGAAGCACATTCAGCTGCGGTACTTCCTCCTGCGTGAGCTACAGCAGCGACGTCAGGCTCGCGTAGTACACTTAGCCTCAGGTGCCAACACGGCTGATATCTTTACGAAGGCGCTTGCGCCTAAAGATCATCAGCGGCACTGTGTACAGCTTGGTCTAGTTCCTGTAGCCTCTCACTTGCTAGGACCTTGACTTTGTACTGTCCTTTATATGTATACTCAGACTGGACTTGTGTCCTCTCCCAGTGGCTGGACTAGTAGTGCCGCCCTGCTCTTGTTCTTGCCTTGTCTGTACACCTTCTGACTGGTCTCTCAGACCCTTGTCTCAGAGGTTGGAATAGTAGTGCCGCCCTGAGCTGCTTGTTTAGGACATTCCCCTATGCAGTCTAGGGGGTGTGTCAAACATGTGTATTTGTCATGTTTGTATAGACTGTATAGGGTCACCTCTTAGAGGGTACAACACTTAGGTATATCTGTGTGTACTCTCACTCTACCATCCATTCACTTCTCTAATTCTGATACTATGCGAGCCTGGCGGCGCTGCTGCAGCTCTCGCAGGAGGAAGTACCGCAGCTGGATGTGCTTCGCTGTGCCCTCAAGTCGGGGCTCCTGACGCAGGAGAATCATGGCCCTGTTGTCAACGTACAGGAATGGGGCAGAGCTAGGCTGCTCACCTAAGCCAGCGGAGCTGCTGTGCCGCCATGGCACCATCGTATATCTCAGCCTCACAGCTACACTTGGCAACAGACGACGAGCGGGTGGACCTCCGCGAGATGGCACCTGAACCAAGGCTAAAGCAGTAGCCCTGGGAGGACTGGAGGGTCTCAGCGTCGTCTGCCCATGAAGCGTCTGTGTGCCTAGTAAGGACCACTAGTCTGCGTCCTCCCAGCACTAGCCCCATGCCCGATGTACTTGCTAGATAATGCAAAACCCTCTTAGTGGCTGACCAGTGCTGTGGTCGGTGTCTGCCTGTGGCCACAGAGCGAGCCAGGATGCTGAGAGGGTATGCGAGATCT